GCAAAACATGTCCAAATAAGGCGGGAGTATTGGTTACGAGTTCCATACCTCTGCTCAATAAGATGAACAAGCCATATAAAGCCTATTCCTGCCATAGAGCCACTCACTAGCCTCCTTATAAATTCGACGATTGACACCAAGTAGAGCTGGTGAAAGTCCATACTTTACATCAGCTCCGTAGTCTGGCGATGCTGAGACGGACTCTCGACATCCCAGCAGGGATTGACAAGCAGTAATTCATAAATTGTGAATCGCAACTCTAGATGTATGCCTGTAAAGGTTGGTAAGGTAGATTGTGGTTTTATGCTAGGAGATTCGCCATAGTTTGATTGTTCGACAGAGGGAAACACAATACGCTTGGCCGACGTTCAGCTTTATAAATGAACCCTCACAATATATTCAATTAAGAATGCGGAAATAGCGAGTGTGATAGAACGATTCTGAATGAACCTGCGACTGTGTATTGGTTGGAAAGTTGAGCGCCTTTGTAGACCTGAGAGCATTAGCGCATTCACCTCGTAGCACAACGATTACAGCCTACCTTACATTAGTCTAGCCTATTCATCCGAATTCGAGCAAAAATTTCACAGTAGATGTATGTGAGGAAGGCTTTCCGTATTATACTGCTCCAGAGTAATTCCGGCATTCGGAATTCATGTCCACAAGATAGCAACTAATGACAAATTGCATTGCGCTCTTCCATCCTATTACAGGCAAAGGCCATGGTGTGGGTGTAAAGTGTGTGTTCATGATGTCTGTTCTTGTCTAGCGGTGAGATGAGGATATATATAACATTAAACACGTGACCACCCTAATACATCCATAGATGCCAAAGGCCCAATCTCAAGATCATGAGATCGGATTATCTCCCGCCATGCTGCAAACAAGCATTAGCACATGCTCTACTCAAACCTTGCTTCCACTGACAGTCTACATATCATAGGCCCTCACCTGAATCTCCGCAATCCTCTCCTTATCAAACGCCAACACTTCCTCGCCTTCGGATGCTCTCATAGAGCCCTCTAACCATTGAGAATATTCCGGAAACATGGTTGTACTTCCATAAATTCTTGCCTTCTTCACCCCTCTAATACCCTCGAACAGTCTCAACACCTTATAATCCGAACCCCTGAACTGAGCTTGGAACACCTCTAACGTCAACTCATCAACTCCACTAAAAGCATCTGTAGCCTTCTGCGCAGAGAAGTTGGGATCGCGGTCCAATCTCACTCTGATATGGTACCTTCGAATTAAGGAGATCAAGGAAGGGGAGGAGATGGTGTCATAGTAGAGGCGGAGTCGAGGCAGAGAGGAGAGGAGGTCGGGATGTGCAAGGAAGGTATTACGACCGTACAAGATCTGCCGTGCTTCTTCATAGATTCTGCGACATGTTGAGAGGATTTGAGGATGTATTGGAGGGTCGCGGAGGAGTCGCGGTGTAGAGATGGCTGGGACAATCAGGAGTAGGGAGTATATCTGGTTTCGAATTTCCCCAGGGAAGTCGGTGAATGTGTGTTCGATCATTTTGAGGTCGCGAACACCGGAATAGTCGTTGTAGTCAATATGAAACAATTCAGAATAGTAGAAGAGGAGTAAGTACGGACAAAGCGGTGAGTGAAGCATGAGGTCGTCACCACACATCATTGCCAAGACTTCGATAACGCCCTGCAGGGATGTAGATTAACTTATTTTCTTGCTGCACCGAACGTATCCGGGCCAGAGCCGCAAGCACGCAAGACGCGCGTGATGAATCCCGTCGTAATAACTTCATCCCCCAATCTTCAACGCCTCATGACGTCGCAACAACCTTCAACATGGCGATTTCATTTCTGGAGGTGATCTCAGAGCTCTGCGGTTGGGTCTACACCATCTGCTGGTCACTATCCTTCTACCCTCAACCCCTTCTCAACTTCTGCCGAAAGAGCACAACAGGAACCACGATCGATTTTCCAGCCGTCAACGTCCTAGGCTTTTTGGGATACTTCATTTCGAATGCGGCATTCTTGTACAGTCCGCGGATCAGAGAGGAGTATGCGTTGAGGAATCGCGGGCTTACGCCGACGGTGCAGTTCAATGATTTTGCCTTTGCGGCGCATGCTATTGTGTTGACTGTCATCACACTCTCGCAGTTCGTTCCTTCGCTATGGGGCTTTGAGAGGAGGGGAGGACCGGGGAGTAGGCCGAGTCGATTTATCATCGGTATATTTGTTGGCAGCATATTGGGCGTTGTGATTGTGTCGTTCATCGTGCTTGTAAGGGATGACCCGGATCCTGCTACTGGGTGGGCTTGGATTGATGTTGTATGTCCATCTACTCCTTTTCTTCTAGATATGTACTAATAGCAGATATTGTAGATCTACGCCTTCTCCTACGTGAAGCTCTTCGTCACACTTGTCAAGTACATGCCTCAAGTCCTCACGAATTACCGAAATCGAAGCACGCAAGGCTGGTCCATTGGCCAAATCCTCCTTGATGCAATCGGCGGCATACTCTCGATTCTACAACTTAGTATAGACAGCTACCTACAACACGATTGGTCTGGTATCACGGGGAATCCGGTCAAGCTGATGCTGGGAAACGTCAGCATATTCTTCGATATCATCTTTATGACACAGCATTACTGCCTATACCCAGGGAACAAGAGCAAGGAATATATGGAAGGGGAGGATGACCCGCTGCTTGGAGATTCAGATACGGAACGCAGGATTGAATGAACATAATTGTACGTAATTGCAAGAGCATGATTGCATAATGGATTTTCAGAGACTTTTACTGCGTGATCTTCTTACTTTTGAAATCTCTTTGGAACGCATCCCTTATCACTATTCTGTCCTTTTACACCTGCCTCGTAACCTGCAGCAGGGGCGTCCGTCCCAAAACAGCTTAGCTTCTTTTTCCGAAGGGATAAACGATTGGCTCTCCATTGCTCGGCTCCCTTTTCATAAGACATGACGGTCCTTTCAACTCCCTTGAACTACTACACCAACTATTAATGATCAGATCTGGAGGCTGTTGGGCTCTATCTGGTCACGATACCGACGTCTGGTAGGGTTTGGTACTACGCCGCATATCCTCTCTTGAGAAACCGCTGATGCTCGTAGCTGTGTCGCGACGGCTCCCCAAGATCGGACAGCTGCTGCAAGCAATCTTTCTGTAGTCCCTCATATCGGTGCAGGCAGAAGATGATATAGCGCTTCCTGCCTCTTCTTTTCAACTCAGCTCATACCTCATAGCTCCATCTCAATCACAATGGCTTCCCAAAATCCAACTGCTGCCTTAGGCGATCTCAGTGCCATTCCTCTCGAGATCCGCAATGAAATATACAGACTCCTACTCCTCTCCCCTCTCCTCAACGACACATCTATACCAGGCAAGCCATACAAGGAGAAGAACACGCCTTACAGCCTCCACACATCGATCCTCTATGTTTCCTCAATTATCCACAACGAGGCATCGAGAATCTTGTACGGAGAGAACGTTTTCTAGGCCGCCTTCTACAACGATAGCCTCTACTTCCGTTGCTCACTACGCTTCGAATGTCCTCTTGTCCGGCACTTGAACCGCAATGAAAATCCCAACAGGTCCCTCGCCCAACGCCTCCCAACCCCCAATCTCGCACCTGTCTTCAACAAGGTCAAGAAGTGGAAGGTGCTGGTCCATACTCTCACTACCACCGAATGCCGTACCATGCGACTCCCCAACATGAACCTCTTCCAAGCCAGTAATAGCAAATTCCTCAATAATGCTGCAGCTCGCAACTTCAGCGCCTTCACTAAAATCCTCTCCCAACGACCCCCAAATTCCATCGAAGTCCTTATGATTCCGCGACATATAACAGCAGAGTACCGCGATGGTTGGAATACGTATCTACCAGTCGACGAGATGTTAAATCCTCTCCTACTCCTCAAGAGTTTGCCAAAGGGCGGTCTTCAATTCCGCGATGCTACGCTTGACGATATGCCAGATTGGAGTGTGATCAGGTACACGAGTCCTGGGTTCACTGCAAGGATGAATCGGCATAAACGTGAAAGAGTGTATACTTGGGAGTCAGAGATGCCGAGTTTTTGGTCTCAGGGTGATTTTAAGTGGGTTGCTGAGAGTGGGCTCGTCGCGCCGCATATGATGCGTCCGATGTAGGGAAGACACTGTGAGAATTCGTACCGCATTCGAGCATCACTTGAGCAGTATCTGAGTATCTCTTGAGCGAATGAGGTTTGGTGGTTGGATTGAAAGAGATTTATTTATCTGCCAAACAATTCAAGCACCAATTCTTCCATTGTCTTCTGCAAGATTTCCATGTACTGTGATCTATGATCTCTATTTCTCACTGTTTGACATTCCAATTCGGCTGATCAAATACAAGACACTTGCGTCAAGGACTGTCAGTCACTGGGCACCTTTCTAGTTGACTATCTCCATCGCTATCATGTTTAAGCATATCATTCTTTGCCCACTATCACTTCTTTACTTCCTTATTACTTTGATCCAGCAGATCACGGGGAATAAAAGGGGTTCGTCTGCTGGCTTTACTTCGGTACACAATTCAGAAGGGAGCGAGGATACAAAAGGTTATGCTTGATCTCCATTATGAGAAGAGCTAGAAGAGCCATGTGCGTTCCGAAATAGAGAACATACAGCGCTTGTGAACTGCGTTTCCTTCTAGAGATTTGGACATCAATAGGACATGCCTAATTCCTCGTATCAAATCCTAAGAGAGCAAGCTTGAACATGCATTGTGGCCACTCACTTCATCGCACACGCTGTAGAAAGAATCATCCCTCACTGCAGGTAAAGAATGTCGCTCAGCTAGTGGTTTTCTCTGAGAACGTAATCTTCTTTCTACGCCAAGTTGAATCTCGACCCTCGTCCACTCGCGCGACCTGGGTGCTCTCAAGCACGAGCAAAAAAGGAAGAAAATAGCAAAGCTGCAAGTCTTTGCTTCCAAAGTTTCTTGGCAGAGAGAAAAAAAGTGACAAAAATTTGGTTGGCTTCAAAGTAATTGACCTCTGCAGGAATCGAACCTACCGCCACTTCCTGCCCGACATTCAGTGAAAGTTATGCTGCCATTACACCAAGAGGCTTTTGTTACTTGATTGAGAAAAATCTGCTTATTTAAATCTATATCTATGAAATTCTCTTTGGTGGGAACATGGTACCGGTTGCAATGATTGGACGTCGGTTAGCCGCCTGCTTTAGGAACGGTGTGATTTTGTTAGCTGCTCTTGAAAATCCTTTTAAAACTTCAAAGTGGAAATTGCTTGGGTACTTAAAATTCTTTGCTTCGTTATTATTTGAGGGACAGGAAGAAAAAAAGAAGAAAAAGGGAAAAAAAAGGAAGGCGAATAAAAGTAGCTGACGCCGCTTTTATACAACCCTCCAAAGAACCTCCCCAGGAATCGAACCTGGATCTACTTTAAACATTAAGAATAAAGCAATGCTACCATTGCACCAAGAGATCTGTGGTCTGAATAATGCTCGTCTTTTGCTTATTTAAATCTATATCTTTCCAAGAACCTTTCGCGAGAAAAGTGGTACCGGCCGTGATGATTGGCCATCGGTTAACCATCTGCTTTCTACGATGGGGCAGTCATTTTTATGGGTTCAAAAGAATAAAGATGACAGCAAGTTATCGTGGTAGTTAATTCAAGGCAAGGCCAAAAAGACAAACGACCGGATCGTGCAGCGGAATACAAATGCACAGTCCGACTATTGGATGACCTCCCCAGGATTTGCACCTGGATCTGCTTCAAATGCTAGTAGGTTAATATATATGATGTTAACACTAGTGAAGTTGTGCTACTATTGCACCAGGAGACCTTTGATATGATTGGTGCTGAGATTTTGCTCATTTAAATCTATATGTCTCTGGTGATTTTGTGGGACCTTACTCCCGGTGCAGGTCAACATGATCGGATGTCGGTTAGCCGCCTACTTTTGGCTTAGTACGTGTTCGTTTGTTTGTTAATTGTCTGAGGACTGAGGCTGCATTGATTGTGGGTGTTGGGTCTTTGTTCTTAGGTTGCATGTGAGCTCGGAGGCAGAAGAAAAGTCCCGAGCTCTTCTTCGACTGCAACATTTCTCAACTTCAATACTCCTCAACCGCAACAACCCTCAAACGGCAGAAGTTTTTTTATTCGAGCCCACAGCCGTCTTCCCTTTCAAGAGCTAGTAGAACACCGTCCGAGGCACCCTCCCAGCTTCTCACGAGATCCTTGTACCCAGGATCGGATTTGGAATCACTTCCAGGCTCGCAAAAGAGTCATTCTTATCACCATCTTATACTCGCCGTCACAGTTCACAATTACACCTTGGCATCGTTACCACGTTTCAAGCGCTCCAAATCCCGTACATACCAAAAAGGCAAATTTCAATCATTATTAATCAAAGTATGATTCAGATCCCAGTACGAGAGTCGCAAGTTCTTACCGGCAGCCTCATCATTTCAAAACTCCTCTCCAGGCAGAACAGGAGGAAGGGCAACCTTACCTGCGTACTCCTCCGCCGTAACCTCCCTATGCGCCGGCCAATACCCCGCATTCGGATCAAACTGCCCCCTCAAATCCTCAAAATACGCCAACTTCATCTGCGCATAAAACGCCTTCCTAAGCACCTCCTTCTCATCATAAATCTGCACATCCAGATCATTCAACAAAACGCTCCCATCCAAATGCTCCCAAACATACTTCTCCGGTCTACTCCCCTTCGACTGCGCTACTATCTCCCATGTCTTATCTTTATAATAGTCTGCTTGTTCTTGCAACCCCATTCGTTCAAGCAAGTCGTTAATTCGGAACGTTATAGGCCATATACCTCTCTTTCCCCTTTCTCGCTACGGATTGAAGTAAGGAGAGGAGGTGGGTTGCTTTACCTAGCTCGAGGACGCCGTGGGTGGGCGAGGGGAGGAAGGAGTATGTGGACCAGAAATGATCGATCATGAGGGCATAAACTCTCATCGATAGAGCGAAAGTGTTTTTTTGACGGTGAGCGGGTTGGATGGTGTCGAATTGAGTGTGAAACGCCCAGAAAAATTGTAAGAGACGTTGGAGTTGGGTGAATGACCAGATGGGAGAGGAGGGGGTGGTGCCGAGGGAGAAATGGACGTGCAGACCGCAGGTCGTGTTAGTTTTGGTTAGGTAGTTGGCTTGGAGGAGAAAGCATACCTTTGAGATTGTGGTTAGGTTCTCGGGGGTGCATTCATAGGCTGGGGAGGTGATTTCGATGGGTGCCCAGATGTATTCTCTCTCTATTAGATTTCTTGGATCGGGAGTTGTGTCGATGCTGCCGTCGGTCGTGATATGCCAGTTTTGGATGTTCTCTTCGGAGTCGTTGGTGTGGTCGTAGGGGAGACCGGCGTCGATGAGGGTTTGTCCGATGTGTTGGCGAGCTGAAGGGAGGAAGATGTCGGTTCGTAGGCCTATTCTGGACGGATCTCTGAAGAGTTGTTCCCGGGTAAATGGTGTGCCGTCAAAATTTGTATCATTTTGGAGGGACTCTTGGATAGCGGTTTCTGAGATGGGAAATGCGGTGAACTTGGTTGGGTAAGGATCTGGGTCTGGCTGCCCTGGCTCGTTGTAAGCGAGGCAGAATTCGAACTCAATTCCGAAGTAAAGTGTTGGTGCCATATTTCTTTGTTTGTGTGATATGGCTGGCAAGTAGGAGGGGTTCTAATTGTCAGCCGTCGGGGCTCTGAAACAATGGCATTTTTATACTGGTGCATGCTTTGTCTACAACTCTGAGAATAATACCATTGTTCAAGAGGTTGTCAAAGAAGCATCAAAGAGATATGTCTAACAGGATCTCAAACATTGTTCCTTCTGCATAGAGAGTGACATCTTGTAAAAATCTAAAAGCCGAGGAAAGACAAAGAGAAGATGAGAAAATAGAAGGCTTCAAAGTGAAGATACACAATCTAGAGCATTAAGCGCAGTTGAGCACCGTCCATTGATATCCAAAGAGTATGAATATCTGCTCTGAGATGATTGTTTTCAAAGTGCATTAAAAGTACCAGCCCACTTCGAAGATTGAATATAAACCTCTAAGGCGCCATCACGCAGCGTACTCCAGACCATCGTGCTTGCTCCCTTGCCTCACCATCATAATCTACCCCAACGAGCTCGATGAACCCATTATCAATTATAAAAAGATTCAACTCATATCCCATAACCATCTGCTCCACGTCCTTTCTTAAACCGGGTATTTCGTATGTTATTAATATTTATAATCAAAACAACCAATCTCTCGTACTTGGAATTCGGCGTCTTCATCATGATACCGGTGGAGAGAAACTGCTCGGCCTGAATTAAGACAGACTGTTTTTCGTCCCTCGTTTAGCAAATAGCTTTGTAGACGCGGTACTGAATGGCTGCTATGCCTTGCCTTTGGAAGCAGCAGCAGCGATCATTTTCCTCTCGATCTCAGCGATCTTCCCGGCCTTGGCTAGATAAGATTGCAATTCCGCAGCATCTTTCTCAAATGCCTAATTATCTCTTTCTTTCCTTCTTCTTCGCCTCTTCAATATTATTTTCAATCGACAAGACCTGTTTCTTCTAGATAGCAAGTGCCTGCCCGTCGGTTTGCTGCCGCTGGACTTGTTCCTGAATTTCTCTTCATGTTCGGGATTATAAAAACTCTTCGCAGAACACACATCACCCAGCCGATGTCCTGGGAATAGTACCAGTAGATGATGAAGTGGGAGTGGAGAGGAGAGTTTATGGCTATAGGTGAAGGTCCAGATTTGGGGTTTTGGTTCTATGTTGGCTTCGGAGGTGAGTTTCCGTTGGAGATGAACGCCTACTCAGATACTTGGGGCAGAAAGATATACATTGGAGACTTGATCTGATTGTATAAAAATAGAAGGACAAGATTGCAAGGTACAGTAAAAGTCTCAAGTCCTTTGCGACAATGACGTTTGTTCTTGATATCGTAGACTCGAGTCCAGATCATCGAGGTCGAGACTTCGAAGCGGTTGCACGGTGGGTGCATGTCGAGCTGCTATCAAAAATTAGCACACACTCTAAAAGTCGATTAGTACAGGTGAGTACTTTTGCGTAACGAGTGGGTTTCTAGAATCTCGGTCAGTGCTTGACAACTTGCGATGAGGTAAAGTCCTCAACTCCTTACGAACAACTAGCCTCAACCGTTTGCAGCGCTGGGCCGAGAACGTGAGATGTCGAGGTGCCTGATGTTGAAAGGGGAAGTTAGATAGTGGGGAGAGTGAGGGAATTTATGCTAACTGGATGGGTGGTTGGGTAGGCGAGAGTAAGGTGAAAGTGAGTCTACGTGCTGAATGAGGAGGGAAGGGACAGATAAGGTGGAGGAATTTCACTGGTCACATCAAAAATTGACGTGAAAGTTAATTGGAGAAGGCTGCGTATTCTTGGTCATGTTACTCTCAAAGCGGTCTGGAGATCTATCCCATGGTCATCACTATCATCCGCGCATCCCATCCCCTCTACCTCGCACGATTTAGATTCTCATTCATGAACCCTCCACCTAGAAAGAAGGCTCGTCCGAGATTGCTTCCAGAAACTCCTATCTAAATTTCTCCAGTTTCTGTTCCATGCGATAGAAGGTTTCAGGAAGCTCGTTGGCAAATACCTCCTCCAGCGCCTCCAGGTCCTCGTGCAGCTTCTCCAACTTCGGGATTCTGGATCTTGCGAGGGGTAGGCCAGAATTGTGTACCTCCTCGGTCTCCATCATCTTGCGAACTGTGTCTTTTTTTTGCCACCAGCTTCTTATGGAACTCGTCCGTGAAGTACGCCTTGTCTTCCTTCTTCGCATTGTCCCTCTTCTCCATCACCACGACCTTCTTAGCCCAGTTCGCATGACAAATCTTCAACATCGTCTCGAAATCCTTGACTGCCTCTGTGTTGTTTTGCGTCTTTGTATCCAATATATGGGCTTGGATGTCCTCGCTCTGCTGCTCCCAAATTGTCAGGGCTTGTTCATCATTCTTGGACAGCGCCTCCTCAGAGTTCTTCGCCCCTTGAAGATCCTTCAATTGGCATAAATGGCATTGAGTGCCGCAGTTAAATTGGCGGTTGAACGTCGCCCCGGGCCCATCATCGAAAAGCTCGTACTGGTGCTTGCAAGAAAAGGTCTATTTGTGCTTCGCCATGTTGGTGGTAAGATTGGACAATTGATGTGATTTTCCAAGCTCAAATCCGCACCTAAAATGGGAGATTTTGGATTGCGTAGGTGCAGGGCAAACGAGGCTATACCAAAAGTGAGCCTGTGTTCTTTGAACTTCTTTCAGGATCGAAGAAAATAACTGACCTGCTCGCAAGTGCAATCGCGGTTTTGGACGTGTTCGCAGAGACCATCACGGTGCGAAAGCCAAAGATATCGTGTGTTCGAAGCTGTGGTGAGAATGCTCGAGATCGTAAGGAGAATGCGTAACCCTGGAGTTGACGTTGAAGGAAAGATCGAAGTCTTTAGGAAAGAATCCTAAGTAGGTCT